GGCGATTTATGCAGACAAATAATCTACTTTGAACAAAAGGCAGGAACTCCTTTCAAAATGCAGACACCGTGCCAAATTCCTACTCAAAAACATATAATACTGTATTGTATTAATTCATCACTTTATATCTTTTATTTAACTACAATAAAGAACATGAAAATATTGTAAGATTACCTAACGACAAAGGTATAACTTGGGAATTCCCCTTCATGCCTATTCTAAACAACAGAGAGCTGTGGAGATGTGGTGTTGTCTGGGCCTGTTGAGACAAACTAAACCCATGTGCGCTGCACTGGGCGAGCCAACCAATTAGCGTTCGTGTACGTGAAACAGCAACCATGTGCTATGCACTGGGCGAGCCAACCGATTAGCGTTCGTGTACGAAACTATGTCTACTCAGCTTCGTGTAGAAAATTCGACCAGACGAGTTCTTCCATGGTTTGCCACACGAAGCTAAGGAGGAAAGCAACAATTTTGAGCACCATCGGTAGTTGTTCATCTCACTCAGTTCACGTGGTTTTAGATTATAACAACCCGGTATTAGACTCAATCAACGTTGCTGTTTAATGAAAATACGTTGCATTATGGTTTGTTTATTATTATTATTTATTATTATTATTTATTATTATTTATTATTATTATTATTTATTATTATTACTTATTATTATTTATTATTATTTATTATACCGCTCTGCATAGCATCGAGCACTATACGTTGCCTGACAACTGACATTATTATATATTATATTATATTTAATATATATATATATATATATATATATATATATTTATTTATTTATTATCAGTTTTACAAAATAAGCGAAAATCTTATTCAATTTCATTAAAAAGCCTGTAGGCCAGAGGTAAGTAAACAATCAGTATCAACACATGAAAAGTGGGTAAACAAATCTGCAAATCATTGACAGTACCTCACGGCCAACTGAACTCAAATCAGATGAATCGCTTCATGCACAATCGCAACCGGACAATCTCCTGTAGTTTATCGATCAAAACGCTCCACACAGCAAACCAGCCGCAATGGAGCTTCCAGTTTGTAGCATTTATGTTCTTGTTTCTTGTGCAATATCTTTCTTGATTTTCCTATGGTTACTTATAGCGAAAATAAATATTTACATACTCAAGTTTAAATTATGATAATCACAGTATTCCAAAAATCTTTGGAGTTGAAAGAAACGTAGCACCTCATGCAAGGCTTTAAAATACCAGTAGGGACTACAGAGATACGTTTTTAGTCCAAAAATTATACTAAAGTTTAATGGTAGTATATTAGGGTCTGAAAAGTACATTGCATACTCCAAGTATTGAAATGTACGCCATCGTGTTGGCATTCAATATTTCGACAATAATTATGTCATCAGCAGGGTCATGTACCTCGATATCAAATATTTTGTCTTGGTAACTGAAATCAATACTCAAAATGGTGGCTTTTTTCCCACATTTTATAAAATCTCTTTACATTTTTAATAATTTTAATTTTTAATAACTTACAATTGGTCATTAAACAGTTGAATATTTTATGTTGTATTGGAAAATTCGAATTTTAACTTGTTGACTAGCTTTGAATGGCAAGGAATAATATCCCTTTATTGTCTGTTTAAATCAAATCAATTCCTCATAAAATTGTTTTCTGTACGTGACGTATGATTTTCGCCTATCTTTTTTACAAAATCAAAATTATAAGATTATTTAACAAGATCTCTTCTTCATTACTTGTCACAGTGATTCTAATAGGATTCCCGGAATTTCTAACAAAACCTGTTCCTAACTCCTGTTTCTAATTCATTTAATGGAATAGATCATATAATGCTTCTCCAACACATACAAACATTGGTACACCAATCTTAACCTAGCTCATGAAAGGTTACGTTTTACATTCCTATCCTCTTTATATATGTCGCTTACTAAATTTATACCTTCAAAAATATTTTGTAGTAAAAAAATCTCTTAATAATTTGAATACGTTGGTTATGCCAAGTATTGGTAAATAACATTTACCGAAATAAGATGTAATTCTATCCTTGTAATAATGTGGAATATTTTAAGGATTAATTTGGGTTATTTGGGTTACTCAACAATTTCGTTTTCTCTCATATTGCGTTAATTTTCCATGTTGAGGCAGCATCATCCTCGTATCTCTTAATCCATTTATTTGAATTCCTTAATCATACTTCTTATATTGATAATTATTAACCCCCCCCCCAACCTTCCGTATTACAAATTAACGTGTTTCTTTTTACCATAAATTTTGCCATACAAAGTCATATATATTTTTGTCTAATTGTTAAAATATACTATTTGGGTAAATATTACTGATGCTAAGTAAATGTTTATCACAGTGTTGTAAGACAAGAAAAATAATGGAATCATGAAAAATAGGTCTAGAAGTCCCAAACAGTTTTCGCGGACCCTTTGGACTTGTTTTTTGCAGACCCCTAATGGGTCCCCGAAACCTTAACAATTTTGCATTCTGTGTTTTTACTCATAGACTTATATCACGTAAAACCTCGGATATAACCCTAGAAGCATATCTGGAAACGAAGCCGCCATCTATATTTTACAAAAATAATCTCGGAAAAAAAAGGCCATCTGGTCACCTCGCTTCTAATCAAGTTAGTTAGGAATAGAGGAATTCGGCGATGTTTGTTTGCAGGTGGATGTGTATCCAATCGAATCCAATCCAATCCAATCAGAACATTTGTAAAGCGCCTTTCTTTGCAGATACAAAGCGCTGCACCCCACATAAGGCACCTCACAACCCACAAGCAGCCGTGATCATTGCCTAACCAAAGCACAGAACAAGTAAACAAATCAAAAGAAGCAGTGGCAAAGTTTGGAATCATGAATAAATAATGCAACAATAAATAAGAAAAAAAAAACTGAATAAAAATGGGATAATTAGTTAAAGAGGTGAGTCTTTAAGTTAGACCTAAAGACAGTCACAGATGGTGAAGATCGAATGTGCACTGGTAGGTTATTTCAGATGAGTGGCGCCTCGCACGAAAAATATGTGTTACCAATACGCTTGTTAAAGATAGGTTGATGGAAATTAACATTCAAAGCTGATCTGGTACGAATTTTTATGTACAAGTAAAAAGTCAGAGATATATTGTGGGCATAGGCCAGACAGTGATTTGAAAGCAAGAACCATTAATTTGAATAAACCCTTTCCTTTGCCTAAAAGGCAGCCAGTGAAGTCCACGAAGAAGATATGAAGTGTGAGTATGACAGGATTGGATGTTAAAAATAAGACGTGCAGCAGAATTCTGTACTTCTGTACTTTTAGAGAATCGTTAAAGTCAACTCAGAGTACAATAAATTGCAGTAATCAATTCTAGATAAAACAAGTGCATGAACTGCTGCATGACAGGTGTCATAGTCGACAAATTTGCGAATTCTCCATTATATCGTATATGGTACTTCTTCGATTTGCAAACTGACTGAACTTGATTAGAGAGTGACAGCGTGGAATCAAATGTGACGCCAATATTACGGACCGAGTTAGTGGATAGAATGTTAAGTTCCCTAAGTGACGGAGAGGCCTGTCTAACGTGATCAAGCTCTAAGTGCCTCTTGGAAGCACAGACAATGAATTCAGTTTTGTTATTATTAAGTTTAAGCTTATTCTTAGCCATCCAAATCTTAACATCCTTGATACATACCCTAAGCCTATCCAAAACCAGATCAACAGAAGAGGGAAGAGAAGGATCAAAATCCAGATAGAGTTGCAGATCATCAGTGTCACATGGATCGAGTCAAACAATGATTCACATACAACGTTCATGCCATTTCAACAATAATTTAATTCGGAAATCTCTGACAGTCTGTGAACGCGATTACAGTACAAACAGTTGCTCTCAATCCCCTGCCATGTAAGACTGGGTTGGTACAGCCTATCACACTCTATCTAGCCTGCCGGGGTCGGGCTTCTATGCGTTTCCTGGTCCTGTTTTGACAGGGTACCATTCGCACGTCTGACACGCCCTTCACCTGCATCTATACACTTCGGTGTATGTGTCTGTAACTTTACTTCATGCTTAACTGTACAATAATATAAAGGAAATACATTTTCAACTGTAACAATCAGCATAAAAATTATATTTAATACAATGACGCCTGATGATGTCTCCAAGCGGACTGATGTATAAGCTAAATAGAGCAGGACCAACTACCGAGCCTTACGAAAACCCAAAAGTTAATAAGTGTGGATTTGAGTAATTATCATCGACACAGACACGACAACTCTCGTTGGTGTGATAGCAATCAAACCACCTTAAGGCATATCCTGAAAATCTAAAAGAACTATTTAGACGATTAATAAGGATCGTATGGTCAACTGTGTCAAACGCAGCTGACAAATCGAACAAGACTAACAAGACACCTCGATGTTTATCAATCGAGACAGCAATGTCAGTATACACCTTGAGTAATTGTTTCAGTACTATGGAGTGGACGATACGCCGACTGCAAGTGTTCAAAAAGTTTGTTTGAAGTAAGATAAGCATTAAGCTGAATCATTGCCGCGTTTTCATTAACTTTTGAACAAAAAGATAGGTTTAGGTGTATTTCATTTGCTTCTGATAATATTTTATTGTTTCCAGAAACGATATTTCCCTTTTTATAATTATTTTGTGTAATTACACAACACACTGAAGCACTAGTTGCCTGTATGTCGTGTCTATTTACACAACACACAGTCTACTAGTGTTTCATGTTGCAGATGTCTTGGGTGTCTAACACGAAGACCGAAGACCCAAAAACGAATACCCATATTTTGTTTCTCTTTTATTTCAATGATATTACTCCAGGCTGTCACAAAATCAAAATTGCGATATTATTTGGACGTCTGTTTGTGAAATATTTAAGGGTCTTCGTTTTATAGACATCATATTGTGTCTAAAAAACGAAGACCAAATACCTAAAAACGAAGACTTCTAATTATTTCTCAATTTTCTTATTGAAGCATTTCAAAATCATTATAAAAATATTGCCAGACACCGCTTTAGGTTATCATTACAGATGCGATGATACATCCAAATCACTTTTAAATCATTTAAATTCTCTCACCACATTATAATTCAGTAAATTTTGTTATAAAAAAAAATAACAAACTTCTCCGACAAGATACGTCAAAAATAAAATTTGGAACTGAAGAAACTCTCTTCTCGTCAATTTTCTCCTGCATTGGTAGAGAACAATATGTAGGCTCATTCCCACAGCTGTTGAACTTTTTTTTCATTTGACCCGATGTTAAAGGTTAGATTTTATTCGTAATGGTAAAAGGGCCGAATATAAATGCGCCGAATGGTACAGTAAAAGAGTTGAACCTAATGGTATCCAAATGGATAGTTGTTCCGGAAGGCAGCGATGGCGTTCAATATATTACTACAATATAAATGCTTGACACCTCTCTTTGAATAATGATAACCGTTATGTTTTATTTATGAACATAGCCTAGAGGAACATACTCGCTAGGCCATTACATAAAAATAAAATTTCCTTACCAGAGTTTTTAGGTAGATACTTCTGGATTAAATCGACCCGATTAATATTTGAAAGTAACCATTCCAAACTGCCTAGATTGGTTTCCGAAAGTGTGCCATTTTTTCGTAATGCTCTGAAAAGAGATGGGGCGTCTTGTATTGGTTTAAGTTCCGACTCCGTTAAATAATCGCTAAGACTACATACGGATTTCAATGTAGCAACTTCTTTGTCTGTCAACTCCCTGGATATCCGAAGAACAGTGGTACCGAAGAGAGGTATGCCCCCGGGGGTAGGAATGTGCACGGCCATTACAATATTTGTATATTTAGTTTCCCGAATAATATGAAAATTAACGTTGACAATCGTACTACACCCTTCGTCGACGTAGGCCTTTATAACATTCTCATTGACAGCATATGATGCGATGCCTACCTCATAATAATAGTGGGTAACAACGTGCGTAGAATACATACTCATATTATTTCAAACAGTATTAATTGTGTTGAATATTCAAAGTACATACGTAGAACTACGTCTTATGACCTAATGTGTATTGTGCACTGCAAAGAATACAATGTAAAAAAACAAATGACAGGGAAATAATTGTCATTATTATTCCCCCTCTAAGTCTCGTAATAGTATCGCCTGAATAGTGGGAATTTCCCACACAACGAGGTTAAGAGACGCACACAAAGAGGTTTAGTGACGTGGCGAAAATTGAGTTCCGAAGTTATGTCGTCACAAAGCAAAAAAACCGCCTCAAATATTTTTATTCAAAGTACAATTGGCATTACAACAACAATGATAATAATCAATATTAGTAATAAAACTGATTTTTTAAAGCTAAAATAGCAGCTAAAATCCAGCAATAAGCTTAATTTATACATTTTTAAAACTAAAATAATTTAGTTTTCTTTTAATGAGTTTAAAAGAGCTAGAATGTATTTGGCATATCAGCCTCTGGTCCATACAATACATTATCAATACATTCTTTAAACAACAAATATTTAATAGACTACAGTAGCCATTAGTAAAATGATAACAAAATGTATTTAAATCACATGTTGAAGGTCGCAATTAAAAAATGTTATTTACTATTTTATTTAATTTCGACA